GACTCTCCGGCGAAGTTCGTGTTTTGGTGATTTGGCTTCGGTCAACCTGTAGAGAAAAGAATGGTGATCACGGTGATATAAAAATTGCATCGAACGGAGGCCGGGAAGGGCCTCGTCGGAGGCAAAAACCGAGAGGGGCGCGGCGGCGCCGCTGGGCTTCGGCCGCGTATTCCGGCCGTTTGGCCGGGATTTCGGCTTCGATTTGGCCATAGGAGGAATCAGTGGGGAAAAACGAGTCGGGGGTATGAAATTTACCTCGATCGGCGGTCGGAAATTTCCCCGGTGCGGCGGCGAGTGGCGGCGGGTGGCGGCGGTCGGCCTCTGGTTCGTCTTCTCCGGCGAGCGGCTGGCGGCTAGGGTTTTTGGTCTGGTGTGGGGGTTCTATTTATAACCCCTTGCCTTTTGATCACAGCCGTTCGTTTCGTTTTAATCTGGGCCGTTCGTTTTTGATTGAATCTGGGCCGTCCGTGCGTTTGAATCTGGGCCGTCCGATCGCGTGATTGATCTGGGCCGTCGGATCGCACCCACGCGGATCGCCAACGTGGCTCCTTTCGGAGTGACGCGATCTTGCCACGTGGCAGGCCCCGGTTGGCCGGGACTGCTGACGTGGCTGCTGACGTGGCCCCCCCTTTTTTTTTTTTTTTTTTTTTTTTTCCTCCTCCTTTCCGGGTGCTACACGTGGTGTACGCAAAGCTATATATTGATTATTAGATACATTTCTCTTTTGTTACCAAAATAAGTTTAATAATTATTAAATCACTCACCTAAATTTCTAAATCTAATATCTCAACTTGCTTAAAATTAATCATAAATCTAACTTAATGAATTAGTATGAAATTATAGGTTTTTTGAAAATTACCTTGAACCGGTTCGGGATTCTCAAAGGAAACAAATTTCGGTTCATCATATGCAACGGTTGGCTCAACTTGACCCACAGTCATCAACATGGTAATCCAAAATGGTATCGAGTTACGATCTTCTATTAGTCTAGACTACCATTCTAATATTTTTCTTGTTCATACATGAAATACACGCATTGTTAATGACGAATAATATTAAAGATGATACTGAACAAAATACACATAGGACCACACATTCCCACATGTGCCACTGTAGGAATCTACATATACCGTTGTCATGATCAATACGTGCACTGTATTACACACCAACAATAGATTTGGTTGAGATTCCTCAACCTCGTTCGACTGAGGGTAACATCCATAATAGTGTTCACCCTATGTATTAGGTCCGTACACCATTTTCCATGATACCCGATAAGCCTCTTTAATTTTTAGTACGTTCCATACACATATAGTCCCTACTACCATTTAGTCACCAAATACATACAACACTCACACTACAAAATTACAGGACAATAGGATGATCTTTTAATAGGCAATGTAAATTAATACTCAATAATTTAAGAGAACGTAATTAAGACATTTGTTTCCAAACTAGATTAACGGATAACTATGATAATGGTTGAATAAACCAAATAAATAAGAAAGACAATCAAAATTAATAAATTGGAGTGTACGAAGTAATAGTAAGTAAGTAAATCAGTATAGCAATAAATAGGCAATACAAATAAGATAGGGGCTATTATACACTGACTAGTTACTGACTCCATTTGTAACGGCCCCGAAAATTTAAAATGAAATATGTGTATTAAAAATGTCAAATGCGGAAGTGTCACAAAAATTTTGATTAACATCCCTTAAAACCAAAAACGTGCTCGAAATATAAAATAACAAACTAACTAAAAGAGATACTCGAAAATAAGAACTATAAATATAACTACGGAGTCTTTAGGCGTCCTCTTCGCCGTCTTCCTGCAGAACGGGCTCGGGAACAATGTCTTCTTGATCTGAAATGGTTAAATAAGGAGTGAGCTACACCAGCCTAGTAAAGACATCACACTATCTCACTGCCACGGAGGTAAATGTGGGTAGAAAACACAAAAAGACCAATGGAGCATAATTTATAACAAATTTTTTTATCAGTAATAAAATCTTTTACTGTCCACTTACCTCGGTGAGATCCATAAAACAACATATGAAAGCAATAACATGATCATCATCATAAAATCATATGAACTGTATAACATAATACTTACCACACATTTGCATTTCAATCATTAAACAACATATTTTCCTCATTTACCAACCTACTAGTATCCATGGGGATCCATAGGGGTCCCGCTACCCGTGAACCCTTAACATTTATAACCTAATTCCAGGGCCGTCCCCATACCCTGTCCGGTATGGGCGCCAAAACTATGAACCTCAATACTCCGTCCGGTATGAGGGTAAAACGGGTCATCCCCATACCCCGTCCGGTATGGGCGCCAAAACACATAAGATCTCCATACTCCGTCCGGTATGAGAGACCACGTTCCCGGTAGGGTTCTCTACGGACCCGATCCGTCCACCATCTCCCAGGATATCTAGTTAGGCTGTCCACATTATTCACTATCAATTCATATAACCTTTTTGATATTTTTCTTGGTTTCAATCAACCAAACACACACAACATGTAAACCAGTAATGGACACCAAACAAGACAACACAATATCGGGTTAAGTATAATACCGACCATAATAAGAAAACCATGATTCATGCATACGGGACCATAATATAATTACATCAAACATCATGCTGCATTTAATACTGAAAATTAAATCAAACAATAACAGACCAACCCAGTATCAGACTCGGACTCCATTGGCAACCTTAATCAATTATACATCTATAGAGTCACACAGTACAGTTTAATTATTTATTTAGCTTTAATACCGTGATAGAAAATAGGGTGAGGGGTCCTTACTTGTTTCGGGGTCTGAATACGGCTCTACAGTGCGCCTACAGACTGTCTCTAATTTTCTCTGAATTTTTTTTGGGGAACTGAAACGCACTACTGGTACCTGCATGTATCTCAAAAAATCTCAAATTAGACCTAGGGCCCCTTTCGACCAATATCGCAATTCCGGCACGGCGACTCCGCCGTGCTCCGGCGGCGATTCGCCTCGGGTTGGCCGTTTTCGGCCGAATTCGGCCACGCTTGCATCGGTCCCTGCGATAGAACAACCCTAGGGCCCTCGGTGGGCCGAAAAATTACGAAAAATAGAAACTTAACGGCGGCGGTGCTCTCAGGTGCGGCGGCTCCTCCGGCGTGAGTCGCATTTTGATGTTTGGCTCCGATCAACCTGTAGAGAAAAGAACGGTGATTACAGTGGTATAAAATTTACATCAAACGGAGGCTGGGAAGAGCCTCATCGGAGGCAAAAATTGAAGAGGGATGTGGCGGTGCCGCTGGGTTTCGGTTGGGTTTTCCGACCGTTTGGCCGGTGGTTTGGCTCCGGTTTGGCCATAAACGGACTCAGCGTCAAAAAATGAGCAAGGGGGAGAAAAATTACCTTGATTGGCGGTCGGAAACTTCCCCGGTGCGGCGGCGGGTGGCGGCGGCCGGCTCCTCCGGCATCTGGTTCTTCTTCTCCGGCGAGCACTGGTGGCTAGGGTTTCTTTTGTCAGGTGTGGGTGTGGGTATTTATACCCTTTGCCTTTTAATCTTGACCGTCCATCAAGATTGAATCTGGGCCGTCCGATTGCGATTTAATTGGGATTAAATCTGGGCCGTTCATGCGCACGTTTGATATGGGCCGTCCGTGTGCACAGGAATGGATCTGGGCCATCCGTGTGCGCAGGAACGGATCTGGGCCGTCCGATCGCGCGCACACGGATCGCCCACGTGGCCCATTCCCTGGTCAGCGTTGCCTTGTCACGCGGCGCATTCTGGTTGGCCGGGGCTGCGACAGGGCTGCTGACGTGGCTGCTGACGTGGCACAACTTTTCTAAATTGTCTTTTGACCCCCCGGTTTCCGATTTTCTTTTCAAAAACACCCCCATAATCCAAATTTTCACCCCTCTTTCCCAAAATCAATTTCAATTAAGTCCAAATAATATTTTTACCCAATTTTATCATTTTTATTATTTATATTTTCATTGAATTAAATTAAATTAAGTTAAATAAAAAATCAAATAAACAAAAAAAAAGAATGAAAATAAATAAATAAATTTAGGTGTTACACCATTAGTGACCTGTATTTAATTAATCAAGGATCACCAACATTTATAATTTTTTATTTATTATTTATTAAACTTTAATTTAACCGTAATGGGAGAAATGGTGAGAGATTCTTACCTTAGTTCAGTGTCCAAAACACCGCCTTTTCCACTACGCTTCACATCAGTTCCTGATTATTAGATTTTTTAGGTTTTTTTACGAAAATCAAACATAAGTTAAAAAAAAAAAATATATACGAAAAATGACCAAAAAAGGGTCAAATTCTTT